TAATTTTTTATTAAAAACATTTACATATTTTTAATTACAATTAAATTGATATTATACCATTATTATTTATTAAAATTTATCATTATATTTATTGCTGGAATATTGAAGTATAAAAATCGTTTGGACAACTTTTTGTTTTTGATTTTCCCATTTAAAATTAACTTTTCAAAAGCGAAGAACAAAAATAATCGTCATCATCATATTCTGAAATTTTTTTTTTTTAATTACATTTAATTTAAATTAAAATTTCATTTATTTTTGTTTATTACAAACATTTACAAATTTATAATTACAATTAAATTAATATTAATTTTTTTTAAATTTAATTTTAATTTCTAATTATGCCATTACTATTTATTATATAGATTGCTGGGATATCGAAGTATAAAAATCGTTTGGGCAACTTTTTTTTTTTTTTTATTTTCCAATTTGAAATTAACTTTCCAAAAACACCATTACTATATTTTAAAATTTTAAAATTACATTTAATTTAAATTAAAATTTCATGTAATTTTTATTACTAACCTTTACATATTTTAATTACAATTAAATTAATATCAATTTTTTTTAATTTAATTTTAAATTCAAATTTTACCATTATTATTTATGAAATTATATTATTATTATTATTATTTCCACTACTTTGAATATTATAAAATAAATATATTTTATAAAAGTGGGATAAATCTCACGGGCAGCAAAAAAAATTCAAGATGGGTTGCATGGGGCCCGCAGGCCGCGGGTTGGCCACCCCTGGCTTAGATTTAAAAAAAAATATATTGTTCTCAAAAATATATTTGAATGATCTGAAGAATTTTAAGATATATTTCGGCAGATTTCAAGACGAGAGATATTTTCATTTTACGGGCCCTACTCCCAATGCTCTACAGCGATATTAAACCGGGACCTACGGTTTAAAGTGGATTCCGAACCACTACAAACATCCGTGGAACCGCCGGAACTCGAATCCGAAACCTGTGACATCGAGAGCAGGTGAGCTAGTCAGTCATCCATAAGGGCAATTGTAGATTTATATATATATTAATTATAATAATTATAAATAATATATACTAATAAAAAAAATAAAATGGCGCAACAGGCCAGTGGTGGGTCAAGACCATCTACCTACTGCCATATTTAAAGACAGGGGTTGCTTTTTTTTTTATGAAATAGGGTTGTAAACCCTACGCCCAAAACAGTCATATAAGATTGAGATATACGATTTAAAGTGGATTCTGAACCCCATAAACATCCATGCCACCGCTTAGACTCAAAGCCAAAGCATGTGGCACTGAACGCCAGATTGCTAATCACTCGTCCGTCAGGACCTTGCAGAGTACTAATGTCTTTTAATATTTTATTTACTAAATGATAGTCATAATATTAATTAAAATAAAGAATAAAAAAAAAACTTAATTGGCGAGAAATTTCTTCTTCTACTTCATTGGCGCAACAACCCCTTGTTGGGCCAAGGTCGTCTGCCTACTGCCAGATTTCTAGACAGCAGAAAATTTGTTTTACTGTGTAGGGTTATCAACCCTACTCTCAACAGTCATATGAGACCAGGACCTATGTTTTAAAGTGGATTCCGAACCACTATAAACATCCATACTACCGCCGGGACTCGAACCCGAAACCTGTCGCACGGAGCGTCACAGCACTATTCACTCAACCATCAGGTCCCTTTACTATAAATCGAAGAACCAAATTAACAATATCATGCAACCATAATTAATTATCTAATTTAACAATGAATCTAATTTTTTTTTTTCTAATACAGCTGGCAAACACATAGACAGCTTGGTCTTGGATGCCTTAAGGCAAGCGCTGCACAGACGTTACTCACTTTACATTACCCAGAGGGCGCGTGTAACTTGAGGATAAGCCACGGACGCGGTGTAACAATGCTCCCGCAGCGCTCTACGATCCTATTAGGAGCGGGACCTACGGTTTAAAGTGGATTCCGAACCACTACAAACACCCATGGGCAAAGCCGGGATTTGAACCCGATACCTGCGGTACCGGAGGCCAGAGCGCTAGCCATTCGGCCATCAGGTCCCTCACAAAGAATGTGTAACGAAAGAAAAAACCCATCCCAGTACTAATTAGTGAAACATGAATCAAAACAAACAATGTTTGTCGCTTCTTATATGCAACAACAGCACATCCAAAACACTTAAATGAAAGGAAAGAGAACCTTCCTTAAATACTTCCTTCGTTGTGCCAACACCCCATCCGTCTGTGAGAAACATGTGATTAACTCGAATAAAAGCTTTCGTAAAACATGTCCAAATTAACTCAGAAGTAAAAAATCCTTTGTGGTCCTGAGTCATTAGGTACGCAGAATGAGGTCTTTTGGCCAAAAGTGCGTGACCCATTGTGTGGTCTTTTGTAGCGTGTGAATGCTAATAGCTAGGTGTTTTTTTTTTTTTTTTTTTTTTGGAACTTGTAGAAATGAGTATTGACCTTTTATAAAAACATCTTTTGGACGAATCTTTGAATAGCAATGTTGTGTGCTGTTTATTACATAATGAGAGTTTTGATTTAAAAACAAATAATAAAAAAATAATTTTAAAGTCCCTTTCTAATTTTTTTTTTTTTTTTCATTATATTACAAAAAGGTCCTTTATAAATAATTTTCATTCATTTTTTTAAGTTAAAAAAATCTTCTCACTCACATACTTTCCATCTGTCTCACTAATTTATTCACATGATTCATTTTTTTTACTTTTGTTCCCACCTTGACTCAGACTAGAACGAAAAAAAAAAAAAAAAAAAAAATTTTTTTTTTTTGAAGCGATCTACATGCTTCGCCACTGACGGAATTTATTCTTAATTTATATCCTGCTAAATATCTTATATAATAGAAATTTTTTTCTCCCATATCAAACTAAAATGAATTAATTAAATTTAATGAATGAATTAATATTTGAAAAAATGCATTAACATCCAGTGTCATCCACTACAATGTATTTGTATTTGTATTTGAATGTTTTTTTGACAAATACAACAATGCATTTGTCAAAAAAATTGTATTTGAGCTTGAGTGGATGAATAAAAAGTATTTTATGAACGATTGAAAATTTGAACAAGATATATACACTCAAGAGCCAAAACATTATGACCACCCCTACATTTTGCAATGAACTCGCCTGGATGACGCGGAAGGCACGTGATCAGGTGGAAGTGGTATTTAACTGGTATTAAATGGTGGTATTAATCCATGCCAAGGTGGGTTGAAGAAAAACTCGTTATTGACAGGTGGTCATAATGTTTTGGCTTGAGTGTATAGGGAGAGTGTGAGCTAATAGGAGGAATTGAAAAACGTGCAATGCATCTCTTTATTATTTTATATCTTGTTATTATTTTGTACTTAAAATAGCGGTATAGCAAAAAGTAGAACCAGATAAAAAAAAATTTTAGTAATTAAATATAGCATCCATGTGTTTCCATGTTGTTGTTGTTTTTTTTTCGAATGCCGACCACTGTAGTAAAACATATGTAACAGATTCTGCCGCCCCCTTCTTGATAGGGACTTTTTTTTTTCACACATCTCACAACCGTACCTAGTACGTATTTATGTACCTCATTTTGAGTACCGTCGTACCTTACCCGTTACAAGTTAGAAAGATGAGGGATTGAACATCGGTGGTTCTACTATATACCACGAGGGGCCATACTTTGCTCGGTACCACAGATTTCAGGTTAGTCCCGGCGGTGCCATGGATGTTTGTAGTGGTTCGGAATCTACTTTAAAGTAAGTCCCGGTGATGGATCGAACATCGCGTCCGGTCTACTTATATTACACGCGCGCCCTGGGAACATCATCAGTGCAGCCTTAATGACAAGTGATGGGGCAGAAAATCAAGTCCTTACAGGTGGTGTTACTGGAAGACTTAGTGATAACTGCTCCGCATTTGCTTGTCATGTGGCGGAAAACCAGATAAATATAATATTGATGAGATACTGATATGCATGGTAACAATAGGCAGTTTAACATAGCAACATACGCATAGTTCACACGCATAGTAACAATTGCCATTGTGTTTCCTAGTTTCTGAAAGCAGTGTCTACAACAATGCCGCCAGCCGATTCGCAGCCACTGGGCCAGGAGTCTGGCAAGCGTAGGGGACTGCTACATACCACCGATATTTTTTCCACCACATCTTTGAACTGAATTCTCAAAGGGGGCATCTGGTTGTTCGCATCTTTCTTTCTACTTCAACTCAAACCCCATGGAATGTCTTTCCAACCCACTGATGATCATGTTTTGTTGTTGTGACTAACTCTCAGTGTCCGTCAGAGAGGAACGGACATTTCATGAGTAGTCTACTCATGGATGGAGGGAAAGATTGCAGTGGTCTGTTGTGGTGGAACACCCTTAGGTGGAAGTCTGACTTGGCACCGAGTCTCTGAAGAAGGAGGGCAGTGCCTTCAGAAAAAAATTTAGGAGAGCGCATACCCTGCATTTGCTTATTACATGGAAAAAGCCCCGGAAAACTCCAACCAGATAGTCTGACTAGCGAGAAAAGATGCTGAATATTACAAACGCCATCGAATCTGTACTGTTATGAAACGGTATCTGTAACAATGCCGGCAGCGGATTGAACCTTAGCCCTAATGCTCACCAGCTGCGCACGTTACCATTGAGCCACGAGTACGGCCACAGATAATCTTGCACATCCCAGGCATAGACAAGGAGCTTTAAAGTAGACTTTTTTATCGTGTTTCAAAACCATCTTTTCAAAATTCGATTGGCTAGCCAATAGATCGCATTTCTTCATAAAGGTTTCTGAAATTGATTTTAGGTATCATTGTTTTTAATGACAGCCCTCATTTACAATGACACATAGCATATTCCTAAGCACATGGCACATAGCATGGCTAGTGTGAAGGAGGCCGATTTCGATTTCAATGCAGGCCACACATATGTCGATGAGAGACTGCCGGAGTTCTATCTGTCTAATAGGAGAGAGACTAGCTTTCTAACTCTGATGAGTAACGGCCATACCATGCTGAATATCCCGGTTCTCGTACAGTCACTGAAGTCAATCATCATCGGGCCGTGGTCAGTACTTGGGAGGGTGACCACCTGGGAACACCATGTGTCGTTGGCATTCAAATTTTTATTCCCAAACTGTAAAGAGGCAACTCAGTTCTAGACATGGTTTATAGTGATTCGAATGCATTTTTGAGCCGTAGGTCCCGGTCTCCTATGACCGTAGAGCGTCACAGAGCCCAATCAGACTTCTTACCCACATCATTCCCAAACTGTAAAAGGGTAACTCAGATCTAGGCACATTGATGTGGTGTGTAGTTGTAGTAGTAGTGTCTAACTCTAATGAAAAACTATCAGAGTTCTATCTGTTTAATAGAAGAGAGAGTATCTGTCTAACTCTGATAAGCGACGATCAGAGTTCTAATCAGAATTCTTTAGGTTTTCTCCAATAAAACAAGTATGTAACAAAACAGATATCTGTCTTCACAACGAAGTAGTGTGTCCGTCATAAAGCGGCCAACAACTTGAAAGGCGCAAGGCATTGGGAATAGAAGTGAAAATTCACCGAAAAAATGAACCTGTTAACATTTCAAGATTTACCGAATATTGTTAATGGTAATAATTTCAAACACAAATAAACAAACAAGATTTAAATTCCCCTTTGAAAAACGATAAACAAAATAAAAATATAAAATCCCAAACCATATTACGTTGAACTACTTAAGGTACATGAACACCTTTAAAATGCGATTTTCGACAAAAATATCGATTTTATAATTTTACATTTTTGAAACGCTTGTATTTTAAGCTTTCCTAAATATCTTCACAGTTTGTTTCTGTCGCTTTTAGAACTAAAGTTCTGTTAGTTTAAACTTGATAGATATGAATTCAAAATACAAAAATATTTATGTATATAGAAAATTATTTCACTAACAATTAGTAAAAAAAAGAATATTTACTATCATATCTTGTTTCCAAAGACAAATTAATAATAATTCATCTAAAGCATTTAAATGAAAGCAAAGATACAAAAAAAATAATAATCCATTCATTTTAAGTCCTTGCATCGTTGTAACAATAACCTCTTTTGTGAAGGAAAACCTGTGATTATGTAAATAAAAAGTCCTATAAACATGCCAGTTTAATGAGGAAAAAGAAACCTTTGTGGTCCAGAATCATTAGGTACGCATTATGACTCCTTTAGCAAAAAGTGTGTGTCCAATTATGTCGTCTTTTGTAGTGTATGAATGCTAATGGCAAGGTGGTTTCTGAATTAGATGAAATGAATGTTGACCTTTCTTAAAAGCGCTTCTTGGACAAATGTTTGCATAACAATGTTATGTAATGTTTATTACTTAATGATGGGTTTTCATTGTAAAAGAGGTGCACAGCGTGTGTTTTAAAAAGGGTTAGGAATTAGAATATCATCAAATTAGAATTCGCAAATGAATGTACAGTGTATGTTTATGAACTGTTACGCTGTAAACTTGCATCAGACAGGATAAATGAGCAAATTAGTTCCCATTCAAAATGTGAGATTTGCATGGATTTGCTGCCTTTCTTTAGAGTCATTGAAAAATATTGCATCGTACAATAATATTATCATTAATATTCAAAATGCTATTTGTATCTTTATACTACTGTGTCCAAAAAGAAAGACCAATTTTCAATTTAAATTTCCCGGCCTTATGGGATTTCAATTTTTTTTTTTTTTTTTTTTTTTTGCATTTTTAGGTTGCTGGCACTGTCCTCGACATCTGTGGGAAATTTACGTCAAAATATTCATTAGTGCTTGAGTTACGCTTGGCTTTGTGAAATACTGAAGCTGATTCCGGCGATTTTTGAAACTTCTGAATTAATTGAGCAAAGAACTTGCATTCAATTTTGGTTGCGGAAACGTATAGAATGTTGCAGAAAGGCATTCGGTGAACATTCCTATATCGCAAAGTAATGTTTAGAAGTGATATAAACAGTTCAAAGAAGGCAGAGAACGCGTTGAAGACGAAGAGACCTCTGGTCGACCATCAACCTCAACCGACGAAGCTCACGTACAAAAAAATTAAAGATTTGAATAGTAAATAGTATTGAACAAAATACAACCGTATTTTTTTTGCATTTGTTTGTGGTCATAAAGGAATATTCGGCATTGAAAAAGAGCTGACTGGTTTGCGAAAAAAAGCCGTCAAATAGGGCATTAAAACTAATATTAAAAGACCAAAATCTTATTTTAAAAGACACTCAAAGACAAGGCCAACAATCGCTGTATTCTACATAAAAACCTTCCAATGTTTCTGTCATGAAAAACTTTAATCCTCTATTCAACAAAGACTTAGATCTTGTCGCGTTTTTTACTAATTTCAGGATCACTCAGTTTAAGACATTCTTCTTTATTGGCGCAACAGTCCCATGGTGCAAGGCCATCTGCTTGCTGGCAGATTTCGAGTACGAGATGGTTTTTTTTTTTTTTTTTTTTTACGGGGTGGGGTTGTCAGACTTATGCCCAACATTTTACAATCATATTAGACCAGGACCTACAGTTTAAAGTGAATTCCGAACCACTACACGCATTCACAGCACTGCCGGGACTCTAACACTGTGATACCGAGCGCCAGAGACTATGTATATGATTATGTTAAGGCTACTTATTAAGTATAGGGTACACTATTAAGGCTATACTATTATACCTTATTACTATTAAATATAAAGCTACCGATATTATGAAACAGGGCTAAACATAAGTTATTTATTAAGTTTTAGCAAATTAACTTTTGTTTATTTTTATTAATTAACAAATATCGAAGGAATATAAATAATTGATTGATTCGGAAGATCAAAGCAATGTACAGCAAGACAAAAAGCCAGATAAATTGCAAAGCTATTCAAATACATAAACAAAACGCATTCTTCTCAGAATTTCGTATAGGACGGCATACATAAACGGATTCATAAACTAGTTAAAAAAAATAACCTTAGTAATAACAAAAAACTCATTTCTCAGATCTCAACGGGAGGCTAATGGGCTTATGTATCATGCTACATGATCGATGGGCTTTTAGGAAGGTGTAATTACTCATTCAATGAAAACAAGATCGAAAACAAAATAATAAAACGAGATTGGCGAGGGTAAATTGATAGATTAATCCATTCATTATCAGATTCTTTTATTAATAGCTGTCAATTATATAAAAGTAAGTCATTTACTTTCATTGAAAAGTTTTCTTTTTTTTTATTCGTGAGTCTAGTGAGAATAATTAAAAGAACAACTAATAAAAAACTCATCTAACTTGAATGAATAAGCAGATAAGAAAAAAGACACGAAATGAAAAAAATATGAAATTTGAACAACATCTTTATTAAAAAACATGCCTGATTGAGATTTAAAATGTAGAACTGTCTGTTACTGCTAATAAATAAATAAATAAATAAAATTAAAAAATTAATAAGTTTAAATAAATACCTAGGAATAAGTGATATAAGAGTGAAAAGGAAATGCTACTGTTACAACTTTTTAAAAGATACTCAGGAAAAATCAATTAGGTATGTGGTCGCTCCTGGCCCAAGTTTTACAGCGATTTTCCATACTGTAGATTTGATTATTCAGAAGGGCATACGATAACAAAGTGTATTCAAGACGAATTCGTTCTGGCATTTGTTACCAAAAGCTTGAAGTTCGATTCCTGGCGGTAGCAGGGATGTTTGTGAGTGGTACGGAATCCCCTTTAAACTGTAAGTCCCTGTCTGAGTGTCCCTGTGGCCCAAAAAGTGTGCAAAAGATGACCGTAGAGTGACAAATCAAACCAAACGAAATCAAGACGAATAGCACTTTGACGCTCTTGGGGGTTGCTGAGATGCAAGTTGGCATCCTAATGCAACCACACATGTTCTATGGGATTTAAATCCGGAGAATATGGAGGCCATTCCATTCGCTGGATTCTTTCGCAAATCAAGTTAATCATTCACTAGTGCAACACGATTATTACGCGCATTGTCACCCATTAGAAGGCAGTTATTAGCAATTGGACCCGAAACAGCTTAACATGAGGACAAAAAAAAACCCCTCCTCTCTGCATATTTTAGGATCCACAAGTGCGCTGATAAAAATGTGTATGTTAGTGCGGGCATTCAAAATGATGCCCCCTCATAACCTGATTCCACCCCGTTGTACCTTTCACGGATATTTGCAATCTCATTGCGTGTGTTCCTCTCCCTCTATGTTGTAACAGAATGATTACATGTAATTACAATGATCTTTGCACCACTGTATGCACCCAAGGCGTATTTCACTGCTGGAGTTAGTGGTATAGAAATCCTGGGTTCCCTTGCATACCACAGCAAAATCTGGATAGTCGATTTCCTCTTGTTGCAGTGAACTCCCTTGCATTCTGAACTGACATCAGTTGACTGTTTTTTTTTACAATTGTTGCCAAATAACTGTCTACTCTGTTACATTTTCGACCCTGACCTGGTTTTCTGTGCACATTACCAGTGTCTTTAAACATTTTCAGGTTCTTGACATGACGCTTTTGGCTATTTTTAAGTCTTTAGAGATCCTTGTCAAATTACAGGACAACATATTTTAAAAAATATTGTGATCTTAGAGGATTAAATGACTATAGGGCTATTTGGTCTTTGTTTAAATTACCCTTTATTTTAACTGTAGAAAAATATTGCAATATGACGGAGAACGATTTACTACAAAATTGTCATAAGTATTCGTGAATAAGCACTTAATAACATGTTACATTACACGACAACAATGCTTTAAAAATATTGTAATGTTACATGACTAATTGACAACAATCTAAAAATTAATAACAAAACTTAAAATTAAAAATTATATATATAAGAAAAACTACATTCAGACTATTATATTACTGGCAAAAGGTTTAAATCTTCTAGTCCGCAATAAAACAGAATAAATCGTCTAAAATATTTTTCTAATATTTAAGTGTTTGTTTTTTATTTAAATAAGTCACAGTCTGCTCATATATTCACGAAATTCTTTTATTCATTTTTTTCAAGCAATTGTCCATCAATTCGAAATGACTACACGTGTAGCAGATTACACATTTCCCAGGGTGTAAAAGACGGGACTATATACACCACGAGAGGGC